AAAGTCTTTATCTAGCTTTGTAACGGGATAATGCTAGACTCATAGAATGAGTAAGTAAATGTCTCTTCTGCTTCTATCATCTGGAAAAAGAGTATAGAGAATTGATATAATTTCTTCTTTAAATGTTTGGAAGCATTAGTTTAATGAAACCTCTGAGCCTGGAGGTTTCTGTTTTAAGAGGTTTAATTACTTCTTCAATTTATTTAAAAGATCTTGATAATATTATCAGGTCTATTCAGATGATCTATTTAGCCATAGGCCAGTTTTGGTAGATTCTGTCTTCCAAAGAATTGGTTCATTTAATCTAAATTATAAAAATACCAATTGACATATTTCAACAAACAGACACTGCCCTGGATGGATGTACTAAGTTGTGCCAAGAAATCTGGAGGACAGCCAACTGGCCGACTGACTGGAAAAGATCGATATTTGTTCCCATTCCAAAAAAAGGTGACCCAACAGAGTGCGGAAATTATCAAACAATATCATTAATATCACATGCAAGCAAGATTCTGCTGAAAATTATCCAAAAACGTTTGCAGCAACATGTCAACAGAGAACTTCCAGATGTGCAGGCTGGATTTAGAAAAGGTCATGGTACTAGGGATATTATAGCTAATATTAGATGGATCTTGGCAAAAAGCAAAGAATACCAAGATAATGTCTATCTGTGCTTCATTGACTATGCAAAGGCTTTTGACTGTGTGGATCACAAGCTGTGCCTGACTCTGAGAAGAATGGAAATCCCAGAACATTTGATTGTGTTAATGTGAAACCTGTATTTGGACCAAGAGGCAGTTGTCAGAACAGAGCAAGGAGACAGTGTTGTTGTTATGTGCTGTCGAGTCGTTTGCGACTCAGAGCGACCCTATGTACAACAGCCCTAAATCCTGCTCTATCCTGTGCCAATTGCATGGCCTCTGACACATCCATCCTGATTACTCTAGTCACTGAATCAATCCACCTCATAGAGGGTCTTCCCCTCCTGCGCTGTCCCTCCACCTTACCAAGCATGATGTCTCTTTCCAAGGACCTATCTCTCCTTACAACATGTCCAAGTATGTCAGACGAAGCCCCAGAATCCTTGCCTCCAAGGAGCAGCCTGGTTTAACCCTCTCCAGGATGAATCTGTTTGTTTTCTTGGCAGTCCAGGGTACAGTCAATACTTTTCTCCAGCACCACAGCTCAAAGGCATCAATTCTCCTTCTATCTTCCCTAGTCATTGTCCAACTCTCTGATGCATAACAAGTGATTGCAAAGACCATGGCCTGTATCATGCACACCTTAGTCTCCAGAGAGACACTGTTGCTCTTGAGTACTTTAGAGAGGTCCCTAACAGCAGACTTTCCCATTGCAATATGTTTTTTTATTTCCTGGCTGCTGGTGCCAAGAGTGTTGACTACATGGTTCAAAATCAAGAAGGGGGTCCATCAGGGATGTATTCTGTCTCCATACCTTTTCAATCTGTATGCAGAACAGATCATCCAAGACACCAGGCTGTACGAGGAGGAATGTGGCATCAGGATTGGTGGAAGAGTCATCAACAACCTGCATTTTGCGGATGACACAACCCTGCTTGCTCAAACTGATGAGGACCTGAAGCACTTGCTACAGAAGGTGAAGGATTGCAACCTCCTATATGGACCAATTGGCAGCATCAGGATGGAGGGTGAAGAGATTGAGATTGTACACAGCTTTAGTTTGCTTGGCTCCACAGTCAACAGTCTTGGCACCAGTAGCCAGGAAATTAAAAGGCGCGTGGCTATGCATCAGAGAGATGGACAGTGAATAGGGATGATAGAAAGAGAATTGATGCCTTTGAGCTGTGGTGCTGGAGGAGTGTTGAATATATCATGGACTGCTAGGAGAACAAACAGATTTTTCCTTGAGAAGGTGAAGCCGGAATGCTCCTTGGAGTCAAGGATTCTGAAGCTTCGTCTGACATACTTTGGGCATGTTGCAGGGAGGGACTGGTCCTTGGAGAGGGACATCATGTTTGGCAGAGTGGAGGGGTGGTACAGGAGAGGAAGACCTTTGATGAGATGGATCGATTCTGTGACTGGAGTGGTGGGAATGAGTGCGTTTGAGATGGCTAGATTGGCACAGAGTAGAACGGTGTTTAGAGCTCTTGTACATAAGGTCACTATGAGTTGCAAGCGACTCGATGGCACATAACAACAACCACCACCTAAATTATCAAATGTGTGGTACACTATTGTCCATAACATTCCTTTATTAGGCTTTGAATGTCCTTGGGTTTAGATGTAATGATTTTTCTGCCATCTTTTATATTAGGAAATTGTTTATTTTCTTGGTTAGTTTGGCTAGAGGATTATCAATTTATTAAGTAACTTATTTTAAATTCATACTATTTCCTGGTTTCCCCCTAATTTTAATCTTTTCTTCTGTTTGAATTTGCTCTTCTTTTTCCAAGTTTTCCAATGTGAAAAGGTTATTTTCTAATATATTCACTCAAACCTGTAAGTTTTCTTCTAAACATGATCTTTGCTGCATTCCTTAAGTTGTATTTTCAATTTAGAAACAATTTAATTTCTCTTGAGATGTATTCTTTGACCCATAAGCTACTTCAAGGTGTATTGTTTAATTTCCAGTAATTTTTTTTTTAAATTATCTTTCTATTCTTGATATCAAGTTTACTTTCATCTTCTGAGAGTTTATTTGGTATGATTTCTGTTTTTTGAGTGTATTCAGGTAAATATTATATCCCAAGATATAATCTTTATTGATGAATGTTTCCTGTCAGTTTGAACTGTAGCCCCAGTCCCCTGTGACAAACTGTATACATCTCAGTTAGATACACATATATCTGATATAGACACATCTCTCTCTCTTGGAGATACTGTATGTCTAGTACATATACAACACATCTCAGATGGCTCTAGTGCACCAAGCCAAGCCCTCTCAGTCCCTTCACTTGCTCCAGCCAGTGCTGCAGTGACCACTGAATAGATTCACTTAGGTGTAGCCTGGCTGATAGGCAGCGCCTGTAATCATCTTGAGTTTTTTTATTCCCCTCTTGTTTTCCACCCAGAGGATTAACTGGAGCCTGTTCCTAATTCATGCGTGTGCAGTCAACACACATGGGGCCACGCTTGATGAGTGGGGATCCTTTCACCTCTGGTGCAGATGGTTTTGAGATGCATTTCATGAGGCTCTTCAAAATTCTTGCTGGATAGAGTTCCACTGCCTCTGACACTGGCCATCCTGCACGAAGTGCCTACCTTGCTGTCCTACCCACCCTGTCCTTTATGGACTCTTGCTCCATACTAAACTACCTAGTTGCACAGAAGTGCTAATCTCAGGTCCCACTTTTAAAGAAACCCAGGCTAAGAGACTTTGAAAGGAAGGTAGCTCAGTCTGTAATTATTATTGGACTGAAGAATTTCTAGTACAATAGGATTACACCTTGTCTTTACACTAATTTGAAGCCATGAGTAAAACTAGTTTAAGCTGAAAAATCAGGTAGGTATTAATATGACACAGGCGCAAACTAAAGGCAGTAAGCTGCTATTATGTTAAAAAATAATTTTACTTTTTCATTTCCCAAGGCACTTTAGTAGTTTTCACAAAAATATGTGTTTGGTTTTGTTTTGGTTTTCCCCCCCAGGTGGAACATAGGCTTATGAGTAGTACCACAGTAACATAATTTAAAAAAAGACAATTACATTGAAAACAAAATATCTCTGAATCATGTTATGACTAACACAAGCAACTCTGAAGAAGGTAAATACAGTTTAAGTTTGTTTCTTCTTTGTAATTTCCCCCCATGATTAGGTATCACAAAAAGGACACATATTATGGTAGTATTTTTGGCACTCAGAGAAGTGCTAATGGTAAGGCAAAAGATTCTGAGTTTTTCTTAAAAAAGTACATGTATATATAAACCACGAGGATAAGGAACCAGCCTTCCCCAAGTTCATTCTGCAGGGCAAATAACTTAAGGAGAAAAAGTGACAATAAAAACAATAACCACAACAAAACAAAACCCACATTACAGTTCTGAGAGAAGAGACACGTTTTCTTGTCTTTTTCCCACTGATACACTTCCTTAAACAAGATTTAAGAAGTCAAAGCAGCGAGGAGAAGTGTGGAAAGCAAGAACAGTATTGGATGATGTTAATTCTTCTAGGCCTCTAAAAGACTAGGGCTTTGATCAGGTGTAAACAGGTGTACACAGCAGTCATTCTTAGTGGTCCAAGAGCTTGAAAATCAAGGCACTTGTCACACTGCCTGCCTGTGCTCAGCCCCTCCATCTTCATCACCTCAGAGTTTCCCCTAAGTGACAATACTCAGTTAATGTCCTTTGAAACTGAGGAAATTGGAGGAATCAAACTACCTCTGAGAGCTATCCTTTAGAAGCATTAGAGGAGAAGGTAAAAGGTAGGGGTAGGAATTGAACCTCCAATTTTATCAGGGGCCTTTCCGTCAATCTGAAATGAAAATGCAAATTTGGCAACTGCCTCTCTTACCATCTTTCAAATCCTGCAAAGACTCTAAAAAAACCCAAACAAATGCAAAACAAAACAAAAACTTCCCTACTATTTAGTTGATCTGAGGTCTCGGGACCTCCATCCACTAGGTTTCTGAGACTGTAAATCTTAATAGAAGAGACTTTCTCTCTTGGAGCCACTGGTGGATTTGAACCACCTGAGATGCAGGGCCTTTTGCTTAGCAGCACAACATGGTTCTAGTAAACAGTTAACCTCTTAGGAAGTGTCACACCGATCATCATAATAGGTGGGACTTATCTAAAGTTGTCTGTCCAGAGCCAAGGTTATCTGGAGAGGAGATAGTACTCTAGGACTACATGGGTGCCCAAACAAACATGTCACAAAGAGCTCAAAAGAACAACCAGAGCCACCTTCATCTTTTCAGGACTCAGTGTCTGCACCAGCTGCTTCTGACCGAAGCAGTACTTCCTCTTCTGGTTCTCACTTACAGGACGTTGATTAGAAGGCTGTGCTTTTAAGGATGGTGGGGCGTTGATTAGAAGGCTGTGCTTTTAAGGATGGTGGGGCTTTCTTCTTCATCCTTTAATACCCCTGTGTGACTTGGACTTTGCCTGTATTTTATTCTATAAAACAAGGAAAGCAAATGTTATGTTACAAATTATAAAATGCCTACTAGTCTCTTAAGAAGAAAAAAAAATAATTACTGCTGAAGCTATTTTTACTAAGGGAGTGGGGATCGTACAACAGCTTCTAAAGACCCTCCTGGTCTTGCACTGCTGCGGAGCAGCCCTCAGCGGGGAGAGGTGCAGGGTGCACTCACACAGGGGCAAAGCAGAGAAGATGAGCTGGAACCACTCGCCATTTGTAACCTTCTGATGGCGAAGCTAGTCCATGGCATTTGTGAGAAAGTTTACGAAGATCTATGGTGTGGGATTCCTAAGATTTAGCCAGGGCCAGACCTAGGAAGTCAATACTATGAAGAAGGTCATCTTACCCTTTGACCCTTAGCATCTGGTCGATGGTATCTGGGAGGGGGGTCCTGAAGCTCTCTGGGAGGAACAAGGTGAGGATGGCTGTGAGGATTGTCAGGCTGCCCATGAGAATGTAGGGCAGGAAGCGGTCATAGGCACCTGTGGCAAAGCAGACGGAACCATGAGCGGGAAGTCCCAGGTAGTCTGGGCTTCTTCTTTCTTCCCTTTACATTGCTGGGACTCCGTAAAGGAGATCACCTGCGTTTTTGGCCTTGGCACCCGTCACAGGCTGTGCTGCCAGACTAGAATCAGGTGCCAAGGCCGGGCTCACCACCCAGAGTCGGCACAAACATGCACAGAGGTCCAGCAGCGCCTCCACAGTGCTGGGGAGGAGCTTAGCCTCAATGATTACTACTCCTGTTTCCAAGGAACTTGAGCTACTGGTCCACGGATAGGAATAACTCCTTCACTTCTCGAGGTGTGTCACAACCCATATGGTTTGCCTTCAGGCTCTTCAGGCTACACAGGAGGATGTTTCTGCTTGTCAGACTGAAGTAGCATGTTATTTTCACAAAGCACTCTGGGTATTCTGTGCCACTTCTCCCCAGAAACGCTCAGAGAAACAGGGGGTACCATGAAGAACTGATCTTGAGAAGGAGGAAACTGGTACTCTTACATAAAATGACACAAGGGAAACATCTTTATACAGTAGAAGCCCACCTTGTGAAGGGTTCTGACTTAGAGCAATTCTCAGTTTATAAGCCCTCTTAAATAGAAAAAACAAGAAAAGATTTCTTGAATGGACTTTTAAAAGAATCTCTGTTCTTTTAATAATATTATTCTGAGAATAATTTTCTCCAACAAAGTACACTGGCTTCCCAAACCACTCTGTAGTCTCTGAGGATGAACACTCTCTGATGGAAGGCCGAGGATGGCTGAAACAGAAACCAATGCCTCATTTCTCATCAAAATTTCTAACTAGTCTGTAGGGTGCTTCCCAGTCACAAGTACCTCCTCCCGCAGAACTAGACTAGAACACCTCCCTGGGTGCAGGTCCCCATGTCAGATGAATTCCATTTTCTATGTGTGCTTGTTTTCCTCTTAACAGATCACCACCAGTCCACCTTCAAGTCAAACAGTGCTTCTCACACTTGCTCCTGTGAGGCCAGGCCCAGAGCAGACACCTTGGCCTGTAGACTTACCCAGGTAGACAAAGTAGGGGGACAGGATGCTACCAAGGCGGGATGCTGTGGAACTGACTCCCATGCCCATGTTCCTGACCACTGTGGGGTACAGCTCTGCCGTGTACACGTAGACCATGGAAAAGGCAGCAGTGATTCCAAATTTGCCCACCATAACCAGGATGGTGGTCACATAGGACAAGTCTGGGGAGGCAAAGGGAAGAGAATGGGAACAGGCGTCAACCCAACAGACTCTGCAAGTCAGAGTCCCATTTCTTTTTTGCCTGAAACAAAAAAAGGTGAGGCAGTTTCTAGAATTTCTTATTGTAAGGTAATAGGGGCTATCTATAGTCAAGACTTCCCCCCTCCAAGCTGGTTAGGAAAGGAGGCTAGGGACCTGACATGTAAGCACACGCCATTGTCTACACCACAGTGAGCCTCTCCAAAGCCCACATAAATACGCTCTCTCGCTCTCTAGTCCAGAGTAAACAAAAGACACGTATGTCAGGGAGTTAGCCTGGGCGCTCCTACTGTAGGCACTGGGCAATTAATGAATGACTTATAGGTGAGTGGAATTCTATTATAATTTATCTCATGCTTTCATTCTATTCAGGCCTCAAAAACTACACAGGACTATCCCCTAATCCATCCTTCTCACTGGGTCAAGGAGGAGACAGCCCTGTGTGAGCTCAGGGGTGAACATCTACGTACATTCCATGCTCCTCCTGCCACACCACACTGGGGGCTGCTCCTGTACAGCAGTGTTCCCAGCCTTAAGGGGCCCGAAAATGATCACCAGAGGTCCCCGCATGCACAGGCAAGAAGAGGACTCAGGGTACCGAGATGGATATAAACGGGTCCATGGACTTTTCTATGAGTTTCCCTCCTACCCATCTTGGGAAAACTCACAGTCATAAAATCCTAGCTAGTGGCCCCTGGAACTCTATTTGTGCCCTGGTCCCTGTCTTCACCTCTTACTGGGTGCTTCTTTCTCCATAACCAGGCCGGGTTCATTTTCTCCTCAGGGTCTCTGCCTTTGTTGTTTCTTCTGCCTCAAATGTTCTCTTTCCAAGATGTTTTTATCCCGTCACCTAACTGTTCAACTGCCCCCAGCGTCTCAACAGAGATGCTGTTGTGTCTACTCTGTGTAAACTATAATAAGGCATATTTGTTTGCTTATTTGCCTGTGTGTCTTGCTGATGAGAATGTGACTACATGGAGACAACTTTTGCCTGACTTACCTACTTCTGTATCATTAACACCACGCAGAGTGCCTGCTTCACGGTTGCTGTTTCAGGTGCCATAGAGTTGACTACGATTCTTACTGACCCTGGAATAACAGATATGAACCTTGTCCTGTCCTGCACCTTTCTCACCATCTCTGATCTGTTCGAGCCCCTTATTCCAATCATTGTGCCAATCTATCCTGCTGAGGGTCTTCCTCTCTTTCTCTGACCCCCTCCAGTATGCCCAGCATGGTATCTTTTTCCAAGGACTGGGTCCACAGTGGTGGTGGTGTTGTTAGGTGCCGAGTATGATTCATAGCGACCCTATGAACAAAAGGTCTGAACCCTGTTCTATCCTGTGCCATCTTCACACTTCCTGACACACAAGAACCCACTGCAGTAGTCACTGGGTCAATCCAACTGGTTGGGTCCACAGCAGGCACTCTATAATGATTTGTTGAAGAAGTAAATGGCAGGGACCAGAGGACACTGAGAACATTGTGATGTGAGTTGTTTTTGTTAGGTGTCACCAAGCTGACTGTAGCTTGTAGTGACCCTGTGAACAACATATCTAAACCTTGTCCTATCCTGCACCAGCCTCCTAATTTCTGATATGCTCAAACCCATTATGTCAGTCCTTCTTGTTGGGGGTCTTCCTCTCTTTCTCTGACCCTCTACCTTTCCCAGCATAATATCCTTTCCCAATGATTGGCCCCTCAAACAAAAAGTATGTGAGCTGAAGTTTCACCTCGACTCTAAAAGGACTCAGGCTACACTTCCTCTAAGACAGTTATGTTTGTTTTTTGGCAGTCCATAATCTATCCAATTCTTTCATCCAACACTACAGTTTAAAGGCCTCAAATCTCTTGTCATCCTTATTCTTTGTTTACCATTCAGACACATATGAATGGAATGTAAAGACCATGGCTTGGTTCGGGTACACCTTAGTCTTTAAAGTAATATCATTGCTCTTTGGTACTTTGTTGAGGTCTTTGACAGCAGAATTCCCTGAGCAATATGTCTTTTGATTTCTACACTGCTCTTACCACGGGTGTTAATTGTGGATCCAAGTAAAATGAAATCACTGACAGCTCCAATCTTTTCTCTATTATGATTCTGTATATTGGTCCAGGGGAGAAGGTCGCTATGAGTCGCAAGTGACTCAACAGCACATAACAACAACAACAACAACAACAACAACAACAACAATATGCAATCTATATTGAAGGCTGTTGTGATTAATCTTCTGCAGGAAGTGTTTCCTCTTCATTTTCAGCAAGCAAGCTGCAGAACACAGGCTGTTGATAGGTCTTCTTCCTCTAATCCGGATGTGTGTATAAAGTGAAATTAACCAACAGCCTCAAATGGTTCCTCCTTCACTCCCCAAGTCGCAGGCCATAAAGAATGTTCTGGTCTCTGGCAGTAATTTCTCTAGGTTTTCAGGCCAAGATATGCATGCAGGTGAGCTGTGAGTGTGGTTTTTATGTATTAATTGGGGAAGAGAGTTCAGCTATCACCGAGTGACTCAGTGAAGACCGAAGGCCACAGAACACATAGGCCCTACCTGGAGGCACGAGCTGCAGGAAGAGAAGAACACTGCCACCCAGAAAGAGGGCTGTGGCCATGGAGTAGCGCCGGGGTACGTACTGCAGCAGTACCCAGGACACGGTGTACGCTGGGACTTCAACCACCGCCGAAAGGAAGCAGTTCAAGTAGATGTCCCCGTGTAAGTTAGGAGTATCCAGAGAAAGCCCAAAGTAGCCCACTGATATAGTCATCCTGAAACAGAGCAAAGAAGAAAACGTGACAGGCAATGGACATGTCCCTCCAAACCCCAAGACCTTTCAAACAGGACGTTTCTCTTTAAACAGGGAGGAGGAGGCAGCATGAGCTCCAATCATGCATTTTACTTCTTAGAACAAAAGAGAATGTCCCTTGTGGTACATGATCCAATTTGTATCAATGTGCAAGGGCACTTTCAGAGCATTTCACACAGAAAATAAAAGGCGTCTATATTTGAGACAGATGTAATTTTTTAAAATAGAAAAAGTCTAACATGCTTTTTGGCTTTAAAATCCTAAGGTAGGGCACTTAGGGAAGGCAGCTTCCCACTCTCTGGACCTTCTCAAACCCTGCAATTAAAGAAGAAGCTAGGAAATGAGTGAGGAGGCAGATACAGAGTGGGATAGGACAAAACTGGAGAGATAAAAGAAAATAAGGGACAAGCATGAAGTCAAACATTTGGAGAAAGAGAAACTGGCAGACCAGATATGGTGACCAGCCAGGCGGAGGCCGGCTCGGCAGCTAACACCTCATCACGCTAGAGAAGTGAGGGGGCTCCCATCGACAGGAGCTCGTCTGCATGCCTCCCCACCGCCCCTGGCCTGGGCTTCTGTCTGGAAGTCTCAGGCACGTCTCACTTACGCACCACAGAATTATGGACATGATGGTGACCATCCGGATATTCTGGGTTCGGAGCAGATCCAGAACGCTGTGTGACGGCTGATTCTGGGAACTCAGATCTTGCAGCTGCAGGGGACATGGCAAGCAGATAAGGAGAGAAGACTGGAGATTTGGAGCATCCAGTAGCATAGCTGGAGCCCTAGTAACTAAGCCTAAGTTTCAGAGTTGGGAAGTGCTTTACGTTTCTTCCTTAAAGAAAACAACAGTGACCATATCTTGGGCCACTACAGGCTACTTGTGTTGTTATGTGACATCGAGTGAACCGACACACAGCTGACCCTCTAGCAGGTTTCCAGGGGCAGTAAATGACATGGGAGGAGACTGTCCTTTCTCTCACAGCACTGCTGGTGGGTTTGAACGGAATGCCTTTGGGTGGGTGGCACAATTCCTTACCATCAAGCCACTAGAACTTCCTACAGGTTCCTTTAGGTCTCATCAAGAACAAAGCGAATGAACAAGAATAGGGAGGAAGAACAGGTGACCAGTCTCTGGAATGCAGCGAGGCAGAGCCCAAGCTGCCCAGTGCACCGCCCTCACCTCCTCGGAGACCACATTCCAGGGAGGCCCCCAGCTTTCCCACCGCAGCCTGGCTCCCTGCCCTATGGGTCACAGGGAGAGACTACTGGCTGGGCATTTTATGGATCTGGTATTTTAAAAGAATTCATGTTTTGAGTCCTCATTGCCATGCAGTTACTTGTCTACTTCAGGGAAAATATGTCAGACAGAAAAACAGGAAAATTGACCTGAGCTTCACCCAGAGTAACTTCCTATGAAATTCAGCTCAGCCAAGGCCATTAATAAACCACACGTCTAAACATACTGATGTTGCTTTCTTAAGCAAACCCAGAGTTGGAGCTTGTTTTTCCCGAGTTAGCAGTTCAATAAAAGGTCAACTTCTTACTTAAATGATCCCTTGAAATAGCTTCATTTCCTCAAAGATGCCAGTGGGACCAAGGGTTTACCCAGACTGACCCCTCCCTTGAAAGCAACCAAAAAACCCTCTGTGCCCCACCCGCCTGCGTTCTGTGGACCAGAACCCTTCAGTGGACACACTGTTGCTGAGCCCCCACTGTGATGGGGTCACCCACAAGGCCTATGACCTTCAGTCTCTCACAAGCCCAGTCAAGCCCAGCGTGCATCTTGACTCCTGAGCAGCCTCCTACTCATTCAGAACAGCTGCTGCAGCTCTTCCCACACCCAGGTCCTGGGACCGAACCAGCTCCCTGGCCTCCCGGTCGCCTCAGAGATATTCTAGAACCACAGCAACCAGCATTTTCTGCTTCTAACCCTTTCTTGGAGTCATGAGACTGAGGAACTCTGCCTGTGGCAGAAGGGGGAGATGGAGATGGAACAGGAAGGAGAAACAAGAACCAGGAACCAGGCCGAGCCAAGAAATGACTCATGGCGTGAGAGCAGAGGGCGCAGGAGGCGGGGTGAGTGTGTAGGGGTGCAGACAGCAGAAAGGGCTGGCTCCTGAGGCAACGAGACAAACGAGCCACGGGTGGCTGGAAAGAGACCGAGCATTTCCAACTCCAAATCTACAGGGTTTCACTGGATTTACTACAAATTTTTATTGGGATTTAGATAAAAGTTTACAGAGCAAACTGGTTTCCATTTAATAATTCATACATTCTGTATTGCTGGACTATTTATTTTTTAAGATAAAGCCCTTAAGGTATGTTGCCATATATCATCAAGTCAAAATCAACTCATAGCTGAATCTCCAGTGGGTTTTCAGAGGCAGTAAACCACATGGGAAGAGACTGCTCATCTTTCTCCTGCACAGTAGCTGGTGGATTCAAACTATGAGCCTTTGGATTGGCAGTGCAGCTGCTTACCACTAAGCCACTAGACCTCCCTAATTTAAGGTTGTTGTTGATTGCTGTTGAGTCAAGCACAACTCATAGCGATCCTATGAACAAAAGGCCTGAAGCCTTTCTGTAATTACTGTCATTTATTAAAGTTCATAGTTTCCAAGGCATGTTGTTTAGGAAGTAGAGGTGCCACTCCTGCCTCTAAAATTTAAGGTAAAAGAAAGAATAATTTCTTTAATGCTCACTTTGTGAAAGAATCCTTTTTACTCATAATGAGTATTTATTATTAAAATTAATTGCTGAAACATGATTTCCCAGCAAGGAAAGAAAGTATGAAAACCTAAAGTCCAGGGGAAAGGTTAGGAAGTTGGTACTTCTGAATTCTTCTCAGACCTGCCTGCAGGTAGCTGGGCTCAGGCAGAGAGGCATGGCCTTTATTGGGGGAGGGCTTCAGGACTTCCAAGTCGCGGCCAGTGTAACCCTCCCAACAGCTCCCATGTTGTGCTTACCTCAGTAGGGTCAAAGATGGCTGAGGTTATGGCAATGCCATTGATTTTAGCAGCTTTGCGGAGGATTGTCTCTGCTTCATTAAACCGTCTCTGGGAGATGAGCCATCGAGGGGACTCAGGGATGAACCTGGAAGTACAAGGAACAATTGCATTGAGGCCTCCTTGCCCAATAGTTCACCAACAGACAAGGCATGGTTTAAATGGAGGTGAAAAATGAGGCTTCAGAACCAGAGCTGGGTTTGTGGACTGACTGTGATCTCTTGAGCACCCGGACAGCACACCAACTTTGGAGGGGCCTGTACACCATGATGGGATCCCTACATCAGCCAGCCACCTCCACTGGCTAAGAATCGTGGTGCCACCTGCTGGGCTGTAAGGAGACAAGAGCAAGGTGGACTCCCGAAGCCTGACCTGGGTGGGATCTCAGTCTAGCCCGGCCAGCCCCTTGCCCTGCTGTAAACCCCACACACAGATCACAAGAGAGTCTACGCTAAACTCTTGGATACTAAACTCTGAGCCTCGAGCTTCCCTGCATCCTTCACCTCCTGATCATCCCCAAAACTTCTCAACTCAGCCTAAAATAACATGTTTATCAAAGTATGTGAGTGCTCAGAGCCTCTGCAGATAAGTCTTTTCTCCCTGGTAGGCCTTGGCCTTGTCAGGACTAGGATCTAGGCTGGCTCTGTCTCCTCTCCCACTGTGCTCTGGAAATGGTCTCAGCTGCAAGCAAGCCGGCAAGTTCTTGCCTCCCCACCTGAAAGGGGGATTCCCACGTAGCCCCTCTGCTCATGTTACCTCTCGTACTCTTGAAAGGTCTCCTCTCTGGCTGTCCAACTCCTCTAGTTTATGCAGTCGCCCTGAGGACTCATACCTTCCTCTTGTCCCAGTGCCTCTAGCACAAGGCTTCAGCAACTAGCAGCCAGAACTAGAGCCTAAATTCTCTTGCCATAGAATCTAATGTCTTCTTGTAGGCCATGCTGATTTCATACATTTTTCTCACTCTTCCTGTCCTCAGATTTACCCAGTGCAGGGCTGAGGAAAAGCCTACAGATAATTTTTTTTTTTTTAAGGCACAGGGAAAACATTACGTAACAATTTAGGAATAAACTATGCTTCTTGTCCCTGTGAGCCCAACAGGAATTCACGGGTTGCTGCTGCCCCCTAGTGAAGACCAGCTGGAGGCAGCTGGAGCAGGGCCGACTCACCACCAGAACATCAGGCACAGCACCCCTGGCACTGTCAGCGCCAGCAGCAGCATCCTCCAGTCTCTGATGAAGTAAGCAAACAGGGGCAGCAACATGTAGCCAAATGAGTAAAATATGCACACTCCCAATGTGGAGAATATAATACGAACTGATTTGCCAAGAATTTCTGTTCCTGTTCAAAACAAAGGAGGAGCCATGTTAGCTTTTCAATTTGATTTATGTCCTTATGAGTCTTCTATTGTAGCATTTTTGGGACACTCTACTGGCCTTCTAGGTAGGCAGTTGTGATGCTAACCCAAAGGTGAGGCCTTTCTGTAGGTTCGAATCCACCAGCCGATTCTCAGGAGAAAGATGGGCAATCCCATCCCTTGTGATTGAGAGCCTCTGAAAACCATGGGAGAATCAGTTTTGAGTTGCTTCTGACTCAATGGCAATGAGTTTGTTGCTGTTAATCTTGAATATAATTTCCCCTCCACGTATATAAGTTCCATTTTATTTTTAACAATTTCAAAATTCCAAATTAAAAAAAAAAATCATAATTGACTGGGAAGTTACTTGGAGGAAAATTTAAGTTACTTCCAACTAGTGTTATTTCTACTGTCATGACCATTCAGTAACTGTCCTCAATTAAAATATGCTTTATCTACACTATGAAATTGTGGGAGAAGGGCAGACTATCTCCTGTGTGATTAATATCTCTGAAAACCCACCGGAGGGTCAGCTAGGGTCAGTTCTGACTCTACAGTAAACAACAACACTAAAATTATTTTATTAAAAATTGACCTTTTTTATTAATTCATAGTGTTTAACATTTCCCATTTTGGGGGCATTTCTATAAATATCCAATTTTGGTAACTCAGTCTGGGCAGACATTCCTTATAATACAATTTAAGACTATCTGCTTTTAATTTTGTTGTTGTTAGGTGCCCCTGAGTATGACTCATAGTGCTCCAAATGGACAACGGAATCTAAACCTCATCCTATCCTGTGCCATCCTCACAGTTCCTGACACACAAGAGCCCACTGTAGTAGTCACCATGTCAATCTACTTGCCTGAAGGTCTTCCTCTCCTTTGCCGACCCTCCACCCTTCCAAACATCATATCCCTCTCCAAGGAACAGCCAGGCCTCCTAGCAACATGCCCAAGTATGTGAGGTGAAGCCTCATCATTGTTGCCTCCAAAGAGCACTCCGGCTGCACTCTCTCCAAGACATTTGTTTGTTCTTTTGACAGTCCATGGGATGGTCAGTGCTCTTCTCTAATACCACAGCTCAAAGGCATCAATTTATTCCCCTCTGGTCTCTATTCATTGTCCATCTCTCAGACGGACAGAAAGTGATGGGAAAGACTATGGTCTGAATCGGATATACCTTAGTCCTCAAGTTGACATCATCACTCCTCAATAATTTGGAGAGGTCCCTAACTGCAGATTTTCCCAGTACAATGTATCTCTTTATTTCTTGGCTGCTGGTACCAAGTGCCTTAATTGTAGGTCCAAATAAAATGAAGCTGCTGACAGTTTCAATCTCTTCTCCATCCTTCATGACACTGCCTATTGGTCCAGTGGTAAGAATCTTTGTCTTCTAGACATTGAGATGCAATCTATATTGAAAGCTGCATTTCTTGTTCTCCTTACTTTCAGCAAGCAAGGTCGTATTATCTGCATAACACAGGTTATTGATGAGTCTCCCTCTGATCCTGATGCCACATTCCTCGTCACAGAAACCAGTTTCTCAAATAATTTGCTCAGCATACAGACTGAATAGGTATGGAGAATGTAACTCTGACACATTCCTTTCTTAATTTTAAACCATGCAGTGTTTTCCTGCTCTGTTCATACAACAGCCTCCTGGCCCAGGTATAGGTTTTGCATGAGCACAATTAAGTACTCTGGGATTCCCATTCTTTTCAATATTAGTCATAACTTGTTATGATCCACACAGTCAAATGCCTTTGCATAGTCAATAAAGCATATTCTTCTGGCATTCTCTACTTTCAGCTAGGGTCCCTCTGACATCAGCAATGATATCCCTGGTGTCCTGGCCTCTTCTAAATCCTACTTGAACTTCTGGCAGTTCCCTGTCTATGTACTGTTCTAGTCAATTTGTAATGATCTTCAGCAGTATTTTGCTTACATATGATAGTAATGATATTGTTTGATAGTTTCCACATTCTGCTGGATCACCTTTCTTGGGAACAGGAACAAATATGTACCTCTTCCAATACATTGGCCTAAGAGCCATCATCTACATTCCTGGCATAGACTTGTGAGTGCATCCAAGGCTGCATGTGTTAACTGAAACAAGTCAATTGGTCCCAGTGATGTGCCCTTCATTACCACTGGCTCCTGCTCATATGGGACTTCTGGAAATTTTTCAGTGTCAATCAGGTTGGGTTTTTTTTTACGGGGGTGGGGCAGGGGGGTGGTGGTACCGTGATTCTGTGTATTCTCTCCATCTTCTTTTGATGCTTTCTGGGTCAATTTATGGCCTGTCACATCTTTCAGTATTGCAACTCGAGACTTAAATTTGCTTTTTTGGTTCTCTCAGCTTGAGAAATGCAGAGTGAGTTCTTCCCTTTTTTTTCTCCAATGCTCTCTGCACATTCCATTAGAATATTTTGCTTTGTCATCTCAAGCTGCCCTTTGAAATCTTCTGTTCAGCTCTTTAACTTTGGCATGTTTTCCCTTTGTTTTGGCTTCTCAACGCTCCTCTGCAATTTTCAGAGTCCCTCCTGATATTTATTTAGTATTTTCTTTCTCTTCTCTTTTCGTAATGCCCTTTTGCTCTGTTCATGATTGACATCTTTGGTATCATCCGACAACTCATCTTGTCTTCGATTTCTAGTATTCAACATCTCAAACCTATTCCTAAGATGATCTTGAAATTCAGATGGATTGGATTCAAGATCATATCTTGGTTCTTCTGGAATTATTTTCATATTCTTCTGCCCCAATTTGAACTTGCACATGAGCAATTGGTGGTCTGACCCACAGTCTTCTCCAGTCTAATTTTGACTGGCAATATTGAGCTTCTCCAACGACTTCTTCCGTAGATGTAGTCAATCTGATTCATATGCAGCCCTCTGGATGAGATTAATGTATAGAGTTATCATTTCTGTCTTTTTAAAAAGGTATCTTCAATGAATAAGTCATTGAAAATACAAAATTTGATCATTCTATTTCTGGCCTCATTTCTATCACCAAGCCCATATTTTCCAACTACTGTTCTTTCTTCACTGTTTTCAACTTGTGCATTCGAGTCACCAATTATCATTAGTGCATCCTGATTGTATGTTCAGTCAATTTCAGACTGTTTGGAGCTCCTGACCGAAGCAGCGGAATTCTGGAAGGTAAATTGTTTTGTTTTAATTAACCATCAGTTGTAAAATATTTGGTCTTTTTGGTTAAATTATCAGGTGTGAGCTGACTGGTCATTTTGATTTAATTAACAATCAGTTATGAGCCTATTTAAACCAATCAGGACCTGGTGGGCAGGAGTTCATGATTAAAAGTCGGCTGGGTCTTGCTCTAATTTAAGAAGTTTTAAATCTTTTCTCTATCCACAAAAGATTATTAAGTTTCTCTTCTCCTTATGTAAGAACCTAATAATTCATACAACAGCCCCATTGGAAGTAAGTATTGCTAAAATCTGTTCATGGGGCATAATTTCCAAGTGAAGGAAACGAAGATCTGTACTTCTTGTTGAAGAGACTTGATTTTTTTCCTTCAGATCCTGAATTTTTTCTTAACCTATTCTGATGTAGCCTCAAATTTGAGAGTATTATTTCTGAGACACATCCTCTAATGAGAAGCTTAAGTTCCAAATAGTTACCTGTGTCCAAGCCTTTTTAGAATAATAGTACATACACCTGATATCTAAAAAAATACTCCAGCACTTATCTTGAATGGAAGGTTTTATGAAGAATGGAGCTAAAGGATATAAAAAGATGGAGCTGCATGAGCCATCCCTGCTGCTTCTTCCTAGGAGAAGGGAGTTACGTGAAACCTTTCCTCATTTCCCCCAAATCCTTTAAATCCAAACTTGAAAGCAGTTCACATGACAGAGTCTGTCAACATCTTCTGAACTGAAAGACCACTCAACGTCAGTTTTCTTCTTCCAGCCATGCCAACGAGAAGCTACGTCTTGAGTGTTATTATTAATAGACTCCAGAAAGAAAGATGAAGTTATTTATTCCATAGTCTCACTTCCTAGGAAAGTGAAAAGGGTTCCATCACTGGACTAAATCAAGGCTTCTTTGCCTTTCTTTCACTAAGCCTCAGTCAGTGTGTTCACAGAGCTAACTTCTGCACAGTATGGGCCTCATTTAAATGAAAAACACTTAAAAATAGCAACATCCAAAGACTTCTAAGGGGAAAAGTAAACACAGTTTCCTTCTCTCAGAGCAATATCCCTCATCTCATCCAAAAATCTCTATTTGTATTGAGATTCTGATGATTTTACTCATACATGAACATTAACCCCAAGATATTTTGTCTCTTGCCTTTTAGCATGTCAAAAGTTCAATTGCAAAACTGGACCTTTGTTTATTCAGAAAATTATGAGAGTTGAACCAGGATTTATATACATAAATAAATGTACTTTCTAACCATATCTTTCAGTGCAAGTTGGACCACATATTTGGAATTTACTGCTGCAGTGTGAACTCTGCTTTTCATGATTTTGGCTGAAATTGGAATACGTTTAAGCAAAAACTTTGAAGTCATCCATGCTAGTTTTAGTCTTCTTTATGGAACAAAAGGTAATGAATTCAGAAATACTATCATCAAAGCATGTGTTTCCAATTAAGATCAGATTCCAGTTTTTTAAATAATTTCTCTACAATTAAGTAAACAGCAGCAGAAGTCCCATGCAGCTGATTCATTCTTTGGAGAAGTTGGCAGGGTGACTGCATTTACAGACTTCAGAGTGTTGAATTTAAGAGATGGAATAAAAAGAAAACGAGCCTTTGCCCTTCCAAATCCTGGAGGTAAGCAGTAAAGCAGAGACAGCCACATCTGAAGAATAGGTACAGTGGCTGCATTAAAGAAGCAGAGGAACCTGGTGCGGGAGACAACACAGAAATACTTGCCAAGTCCTGAGCTCACAATCTTGTTCTCTTTCTGGGGGGAGGAAAATATATGCACCTACAGGCCAAGGAAAATATTCCTCTTGTGATGAGGAAGCCACATAATCCACTAAATGCAACCGACTTCCCAGGGCAGGCCCACATCCCCCCAGTCCAAGGCTGGTTTACTAGGGTGATCCTCCTTGTACCATTTTCACTCCTCAAATATAATTTTTTAAAATATTCTTTTTAGTACATGAGTTAGAAAGCAGTCAGAGAATAACATCTAACATCTCACACTCTGAGGAGAGATGGGATTTTGAACCCAGTCCAGTCTGATCATCCCGAGCCCACCTCCCTATGACTTCTCAGACTCCTCAGCAACAAGCCAGTGGGGAAAATGCCACCACTTTCCGACACTATATCCTAAAGATGCCCCACTAGATGCCCAAATTTAATCCATACATGAGGAAGAATCAATTGAAAATCAACCCGACCCAGAGGTTGTACATGCTCACTGTTGAAGAAGGAACTCTTAGTAAAAATGAAGAAAAACAACAACAATCCTTTCAACAACATAACTGAAGGCACCCAAAAGACCAATAAGGAAGAATCTTGCAAACAGGCTGTCATTCTGAGGCAGGTCCTGCAGTGTGTACTCTATGGTAAAGGCCTGAAGATGACAAAAGTCTCCTCCTACCAACTGCTTCTTGTCACTAGATTGAGATTGGCTACAGTGTTCTGTAAAGGAGGAAGCTTTTTCCATGATGACAATGAAAATCAATTGTGGACACACTTCCTTCTTTCTATGGTCCTGGGCAGTGGCAGATGCTTTCCACATCTGATCTTTGGTGAGTCCTAGTAAAATGGCCAGTAAGTGCCAATAATACAAAGGTGGAGGCCACAGACGAACTGGAATTCAGCAATCAGGCTTCTGTGGTGCTGGGAACCCAGGACTGGTCGGTCACTGGCCTGACTCAGCTTTCCCTGCTCATAAAGCTGCATTCACCAAGAAGCCCTGCTGCTAGAGACTGCTTCCCTTTGTAGGGCATCATTGCTGTCTCCAAGAGACTGGTGATGGGATGGATGATGGTGAAACACAGGATCAAGTACTCAACTCTAACTGATGGTCATACCCAGGACAAAAGCTGCCACGTAGTTGGAGATCTGGCCCATGCCTACAATTATAAACAGCACAGTGAACATCTCGTAGTTCGTTGAGAAAACTTGCAGGAAGCTGAAGCCTGTCTGCATGCCCATGGTCACAAACAGTACATTCTTCCGACCGAACCTGGGAAGGAAAGAAGAGTGAAGGACAGTTAGCTAAGACAGAGTATCAGGAATAGGCTTCACAAAGGGAGGTTCCCCCAGGTCTACCAGCGAGGGCTGAGGGACAGTGCTGCAGAAGTCTCTAGTGTCAAGGATGGCCCAGTTTTCCAGCCTCCACTGGCTGTTCCCCAGGACAAACAAGCAGCCTGGACACCAGGACAGTACAAAAGGTGGTGTTGCAATTATGGTAATGATTAAAATGTACTGAAACAAATTTATACAGCTATGTATAAAGAACAGGTCAGTTTGGAGACTGATGGAGACCAATTATGGAAACTGAAAAATGAAGGGAACATCTGCCTTGACTGTCCATGGTCAACTACTTGAACAGTAATAACAGATACATGGAAGTATCACTTTATTACAGTAATAGCTGCAAAGAAATGTTAGCATTAAAATACCACCACTTTATAATGTCAATAAACAGATGTAGACTTTACATATTAATGATTGCTATTGTTGTTTTGTGTAGATGACATAACCTTGCTTGCTGAAACTGAGGAGGACCTGAAATGCTTCCTGTAGTCTTAAATATGAATTGAAGTTCAACATAAAGAAAAGATTCTCACCACTGCACCAACTGGCAGCACCACGATAGATGGAGAAGAGATTGAGGTTTTTAAATTACAGCTTGCTGGGCTCCACAGTCAACACTCTTGGTACCAGCAATCAGGAAATCAAAAGATGAATTGCAATGGGAAAATCTGCTGTTAGGGACCACTCTACAGTGCTGAGAAGCAATGATGTCAATCTAGAGACTAAGGTGTACCTCTAGGCCATGTCTTCATAATGACTTGCTATGCATCAGAGAGCTGGACAATGATTAAAGACAACAGAAGAAGAATTGATGCCTTTGAGTTGGGTGCTGGAGAAGAGTCTCGAACATGCCATGGACCGCCAAGAAAACAAATAGGTCTTTCATTGAAATGAAAAATAAACAAACTAATAAAAAGACAAACAAACAAAAAACCCAAAAACCAATAGGTCTGTCCTGGAGAGGGTGAAACCAAATTTCTCTGCAGAGGCTAGGATTTTGAAGCCCTGGCTCACATACTTTGGGCACATGGCCAGGAGAGACCAATCCTTGGAGAAGGACATCATGCTCGGAAAGGTGGAGGGACAGCGCAGGAGAGGAGAGGAAGACCCCAGATGAGATGGATTTATATAGTAACTGGGGCAATGGGGGTTGGTGAGTCAAAGTCAGTGAGACTGCCTCAGGACAGAACAGGCTTCAGAGCTGCTGTACATAGGGTCACTATGAGTTGCAGGTGACTTGAAAGCACATAACGACAACATTGTTATTGTTACTTGCTATCAAGTCAACTATGACTAATAGAGACCCTTTGAACAACAAATCTTAACCTTGCCCTATTCTGCTCCTTCTTGACATGCACAAGCCCACTGTCAAAGATGGTGAAGAAGGAGCAGAACTTGCTCAAAGTCTTCCTCTCCATCTCTAACTTCTCATGTTTCTTAGCATGACATTTTTTTCCCAAGGACTAGCCCCTTGTGACAACATGTCCAAAGTAGAGATGAAAGTTTCACCATTCTTGCCTCTAAGAAGCACGCTGGTTGTACTTCCTCTGTGATAGACTTGTTTATTCTGTTGGCCATCCACAGCCTATTTGGGATTCTTTGCCAATATCACAATATTATTTTGGGCAAAAAAAGCAATTAAAAAGACAATTGCTTAGACCATGCACAACGTACTCTTTTAACAGACATCCTTACTTTTTAGCATTCTGGAGAAGTCGACCGCAGATTTTTCCAATAAATATACCTTTTAATTTCTTAGTTCTGGTACCAAGGATGCTGATTATGGATCAAAGTAAAATGAAGTAACTGACAATGTCAATCTTTTTTCCCCATATTGGTCTGTTGTTGTTGTTGTTATGTGCCATCAAGTTGACCACAATTCATAGCAACCCTATGCACAATAGCTCTGAACCTGCTCTATCCTGAGCTAATCTCACTATCTCTAACACACCCACCCTCATTACCCAAGTTACTGAGTCAATCTGTTTCACCCTGGGTCTTCCTCTCCTGCGTTGTCCCTCCACCATTCCAAGCATGGTTCTTTCATTTCCTTGATGCTGAGATGTAATCTATATTGAAGACTGTATTCTTGGGTTGTCTTAAGTGTTTCAATTCTGAAAGCAAGCTTGTGTTAATAACACAGGGTGTTAATAAGTCTTTCTCCAATCCTGATGCCACATTCTTCTTCATATAGTCCAGCTTCCCGAGTGATTTGCTCAGGATGCAGACTGAATACGTACAAAGAAAGGACATAAACCTGATGCACACCTTCCCTCATTTTAAACTATACTGTGTTCCTCTGTTCTATTCAAATAACTACTTCTTTGTCTATGCAAAGGTTTTGCATGAGTACAAATGAGTGTCTTGGGATTCTCATTCTTCTCAATGTTAGCCATAGTTTTGGGGTTTTTTGGTATAATTTATTTATTTTTTATTCATTTCAATGAACACCTACAAAGATTTTGGAATTCCATTCATTCCTTGTTGCACTTTTCACCCCGCCAACCCCAACTCCCCCCCGCCCCCGTTCGCTCCTCTCCTTGAAAAGCAAAAGAAAAACTCCTTCATTGGTACACAATCACCCCCCCACACACCCCATCCCAAGTATACTCAACTCTGCAACCCTCATTCCAGACTCTTATGATAATCATAATACCCTAAAATATATTACTTTTAAACTTTTCTCTCCCTCATAGACTTCAATGCAGTAAACATAATTAATCCAGTTTTTCTCAGTCTTACCCCCACCCCGATATCAGCCTCATTCTACAACAGTGGCACCGTATAGTATTTGTCCTTTTGTGACTGAGATATTTCACTCAGCATAATGTCCTCCAGGGTCACCTATTTTGAATAATATTGCATGAGTTCCTTGTTTTTCAATGCAGCATAGTATTCCATTGTGTAAATATACCAGAGCTTCTCTATCTATTCGTTTGTTGATGGGCACTTAGGTTGTTTCCAACTCCTTGCTATTGTGAACAAAGCCGCAATAAACATGGACGTGCATATATCTGCTTGGATGTCAGTTATGGTCTCTTTGGGGTATATTCCCAGTAGTGGAATTGCTGGGTCAAATGGTATCTCTATTTGCAACTTTTTGAGAAAGCGCCACACCGCTTTCCACAGTGGTTGCACAATTTTACACTCCCACCAACCCGCAAGAGCCAATATTATTCTCAATGGAGAGAGGTTAAAGGCATTCCCTTTAAGAACAGGAACTAGGCAAGGATGCCCAATATCTCCTCTCTTATTCAATATTGTATTGGAAGTCTTAGTGATAGTATTAAGACAAGAGAAAGACATAAGTATACAAATTGGCAAAGAGGAAGTAAAATTATTCCTCTATGCAGATAACATGATAGTATACTTAGAAAACCCTAAAGACTCAGCAAGAAAACTATTGGACATAGTTGACCAATTCAGCAAAGTAGCAGGATACAAGATCAACATACAAAAATCAGTTGGATTTCTCTACAGTGACAAAGAGAATACAGAGCTGGAGCTAAGAAAAGCAATACCCTTCACAATAGCTAATCATAAAATAAAATATTCGGGAGTAAATATAACTAGACGCACAAAAGATCTATTCAAAGAAAATTACAAAAATTACTACAATAAACAAAAAGAGACCTGGAGAAGTGGAAGAATATCCCTTGCTAATGGATAGGAAGACTCAATGTTGTGAAAATGGCAATACTACCAAAGGCAATTTATACATTCAATGTAATCCCAATACAAATACCAATTCCATTCTTCAGTGAGATGGAAAAGGCAATATCCAGCTTCATTTAGAATGGAAAGAAGCCCCGAATAAGCAAAGCCATAATTTTTTATGACCCAGTCAAATGGCTCTGCATAGTCAATAAAACACAAAGTGAACACCTTCCTGGTATCCTCTCCTTTCAGCCAAGATCCATCTGACATCAATGATATTCCTCATACTATCGCCACTTCTGAATCCAGTTTTAATTTCTGGCAGTTCCCTGTGATGTTGTGTTTCAGCAATTTTAAATATAATTTTCAGCAAACTTTTATTTGCATGTGATACTAATTATATTGTTCAATAATTTCCATATTCTGTTGTACCTCTTCTTTGGGGGGGGTGAGAATGAAAGCTAGTATCATAAGAAGAGGCTACCAAACATTGCATGTCCCCTATAGTATTGTTCTCACAGTGCAGTGGTTAAAGGACCTTTGGTGGTGCAGGACTTAAAGAAGGAGGCTGCCAACTAGAAAGTCAGAGGTTCCAAGCCACTCACCATTCCATGGGAGAAAGACAAGGCAGTCTTCTTCCATACAGGTTTCTAGTCTTGGAAATCCTACAGACAATACGTCTCTGTCCTGCAGAGAATTTCTATAAGTCAGAATCAACTTGATGTTAGTTGGTTTGGTTTGCAGTGTGGTGTAGTGTTGACGAAGGGACTGAACCTAAATCTGATCAAGACTCTATATCCAGTTGCCAATTTTCAAGAAATATAGAGATAGAGGAATATGCTAATTCATATCATTAGGATGACTGTTGTTAGGTGCTGTCAAGTATGACTCATAGCGACCCCATGAGCAACAGATCTGAAACCTGCCCCGTCCTGTGCCAGCCTCACCATCTCTGACACACTCAAGTACGCTGTAGCAGCCACTGTGCCAATCCACCTGCTTGAGGGTCTTCCTTGCCTTCACTGTCCCCCCATCTTTCCAAGCATGATGTCCCTTTCCAAGGAATAGCTCTTCTAAGCAACATGCTTACAGTATGCAAGATGAAGCTTTGTTATCCTTGCCTCCAAAGAGCACTCTGGCTGCACCTTTTCCAAGACATATTTATTGGTACTTTTGGCAGTCCATGGCATATTCAGTACTCTTCTCCAATACTACTGTGTTCAAAGGCATCAATTTTTCTTCTATTATCCTTATTCATCAGTAGGGTAC